TAGGGGCAACATGGGCCGCATACCGCGGGCCACGGAGATCCATGGGTTGGATCTCGCATCGGCTCTTGCCCGGGCCAGTCAAGCCTTCCATCCTTCCGGTGCCAATAGACTGGTACCGGGCTCGTTTGGGAAAATTAGTACACTTGCAGAGCCGGGTTCGCTGCAGGCACTGTGGCACGTTAAGGGGCTGGCTTTAACTTGGCGCCAGCCCTTTTCCACCTGTTGTTGTCGCTTACCCGCTTCAAAATTCGATGGAGAACAAGCTGACATCGCGCCACAACAAGCCCCCCCCCCTAGTACGCACGGGCGTCCGCAACGACAAGGACTACACATCGGCTGGCAGGCAGCTTGTTGCTCAGGCCATATCGCATACAAAAGTCACTGCGCTCCTGAATTGGCGTAGAATGTGTGGCACATCCCAAGAAGAGATGGCTTAACGCCGAACTTCATCCTTTTTCTCGTCAATGATTGGACTAAACATGATCTTGAACTTTATCTCAAAATGAACTGATTTGCTGTAGATCCACCTTTCTCATTGTTAGTTTCAACTTTTTTTTGCAATTTTTTCCAACTCTAGAAATTTTTGACGAAATATAAAACAAATATTTTCAGTGCGATCCATCCGGAATTGTTGAAGTTTCGTATCTGTTTCAATTTTATCACTGGTCGATCATCTCCTCATCTGGATGAAGTACTCATCAGTCCAACTCCGTCCCATTGTCAACGACGACTTCAGAAAGAAGCAGTGAGTTGTTTCCTTGGCAGAACGTGAGCTGATGAAGCAATACCTAAGCTAACACTGGTTTTTCAGTACTACTGAATGGCTAGGAATTTCGAGACGATTTGCCATCGAAACTCGCGAAACGAATGCCGGCTGGTGCAAACAAGAATTTGTTGCGTCCCGCCATGGAAGCTGCTCATATTTTGTTCTCTTTCAAGGAAATCCCTTTCACCATACCTCAAAAGTATAAGACTGTAACGATTTCGATGAGCCAACTTCTAATTATGGTTATGTTAAGGTTGTCCGAGACTTTTGCTCAAGTTGTTCATGACTATGAGCTGGAAATGCCCAGCGCTTTTCCACTTCTGGCTTACTTTTCCATAAGCCACCCATTCTCGCCGAAGCTACGTGGGTTATTCTCTTTACGCTTTCTCTATTATATCCGTTAATCTACGCGTTCTCTATTATATCCGTTAATCCCATCGAGCGGATTTAGCGCTGTGATTCACCGCGCTAAGGTGTTTCTTGAACGATATTCAGCAAAAGCAGCGGAATCTCCATTACCTGGAAAACTTTTCTATAAAGTACACTGAACACGATTTTTTCGATAGGTGGAGATCCGGTCCGTTCCTTCCTGTGCCTTCCTCGTTGGCGCTAACCTTCACCATACCGTACTGGGAATAAGGCGCACAAATGAAGCACAATAGTAGTGACTCTCCGCCCATCCGCTTATCGCGGAATGCGCCTGCAAACCCGTCTGGAAAGAGGTACAATGATCTGATGCGCTATCCACTGTATAGATTCTGTTCGGGACAAGCTCGCATTCAATCACCTTCATATTCCAAAATGAAATTCGGCATGTGGCACATCACGATGGAGGTAGGTGAGGGGAAGGGGGGGGGGGCGGTAATGGAGTTATCGTTGTACAGTCAACATCACCGCAATTGTCGGGTCGCAATCTGCGGTTCTCAGCTGCGGCGTTTCCATCATTGGTTGTTTCCTTCCCAAATCGATCTTTACCCGATCGCCATTGGTAGAGCAAGGCAGCCGAACGCGGGCTCGAACCGCGCCGCTCACGCCACCTCCGACGGTTCGCAATGATGAGGACTGTACGTTATAGTGGGGCGGGTGGGTGAAGTGGTAAATAGCGCTGCTTACGTCGTGTGCAGTCGATAAGTCAAATCCAGGATCAAAGCCGCCAAGCCAGCCAAGAATTCGAGCTCTTGGAGGATTTGATAAACCCTCAGCTTTCGTTACGTAAGATAAGAACATCTGTACAGCGACCGGCTTCTGCAAGTACTTGTATAATTCAAATTGTATTCATATACCGCTACGATTTCGACTGGACATAGGGTGCATGGCGCATTCCAAATACTATATCTCATCATTTTCATTCTTATGTTCTAGTCGGCATTACATCGCCCACAGTGCTCGTCCCAAGTGTATATAATCGGAATTTTTTGGCTCGAAGATTAATGGAAGGCCTGAAGAATTATCTTGATGAATGCGACTACAAGTACGTATGCTGAATCTTCTGCTTCTTTTTTATACTAGTTTAATCTTACAAGTCGCCTTTTGAGTTTCTGCACTTTTCTAAGTGACGATACTTGGTAGAAAACGCTGGCGCCGGCCCCCTTACAGCCCCAGAATCCGCAGCGAACAGGGTTCTACTCGATCTTTGATTCCGCAGAAATATCGCGCATTTGAGTATGTGTCTACAGCAGGCTGGAAATACCACTTCTCTTCCAAATGGCACAGTTAACCGCGAGCGACCATATTTTGCTTCGAAATTAGCACAATCCCCCAAAAATTTAACCATTTGATGTCCTGAGGCAAAAGTCAGAGTAATGCAATCTCATACTGTCTCGGTGAGAGGGTACACACAAGTAAAACATGACGTGGTTGCTTAGCCTTGTCAGAAAGGAGAGCCCCGTCGTACATAGCGCCTTCCATGCCTTCAGATTGATCAGGGAGCCCAGCACTCGTTCCTACCGAAAGAACACCGGCCGGCCATACAATAATTTATAGGGTAGCTTTAGAATTCGCGTTGACGCGAAGTGACGCGCGTCGACGCGCTACCACTGCAGTGACGTTCCACTGCTGTAGACGGGAACGCGGCTGGTATTCATCGGCGCCCGCAGCTTGTATTTTGAGAAAGTATAGCATACCAGAAGGGTAAGGTAGGTGGTGCCTTCACACAGTGTAGTATCTCCCTGTTCTTATGTACTCTCCCAAAACACTAGCGGCTGGCGCCGATCGATACCAGACTGTGTGATCGGTCAAAACCTACCACCCTATTACCATATATTCTTTAACAACACAGGCGGGCGGATGCCACTACATCGATAGCGCGTGCTCGCGAAGTCTCAACGCTGCTTAAATGCAATGTATACGATGGCTGCGGGCGGGCGTTTACTGCCTTGGAAGAGTTGCGAGAGGGGTCTGGTCACGCCCCCTCAGCTCTCCCACCAATGACGTTGGCATAAACGGCCCGCCCCCAGCCATCAGGCCTGCTGCCTTTAAAGGCAGCGCACGCGTTTAATTTGATGAGTTATGGGGCTCAGACAGTAACAACAAGGTAGAAAATAATTCATTAGTGAAAAAAATGCAAAAAAATATCCCCCACGCCGAGCTGAGATTGTAGTGCTTAAGGCGAAGAGAAGGCGCGGCCGCACGAGTTCTCACTTGTTGGTATCAGCTGTTTTCCCTTATCACCTCACTCTCACCACTCGACGTGGAGAGAAGCAGCAATGGAACAACCGCACCATCAGGCAACCATTAGAAATGAAGTTGGGCGTAGTGGTCGCCAGGTGGGCGGGGCGGGGGGTCGCCGCTATTCTACTCGCATTTTT